ATAATAAAAGAAAAAATAACGTAATTTATTTGTGTCGTGCCCGTGTCTGACACCGACACTCATTGGACACTTCTTGGCACGTGTCTAACATTTGTTGAAACGTATCCTATTTTTAAAAAGTTTATAAGATTCGAACACTCTTCAGGCATTCAGTCCATTGCTTAAATACACGTGTCCACCTAGACACACAAAACTAATTATAAGTTTGAAATAAATAACTTAGGATATAATAATAAAAGAAAAAATAATGTAAATTTATAAAAATAAGTGTTATATTACATTTTTTTTTTTATTATCTTTGAATAATATATTCATATATATGACATAATAAATATATAAAATTATATATTTTGTATGTGTCCACTTACTGTGTCTTGCATTTTTTGAAAATTGAAGTGTCTATATCGTGTCGCATGTCAAAACAATGATTCAAACCACGGATTGCAGGGGATGTCCCCTCCTGCTTGCTGCCTTACAACCAGGTTTTGAACTTGTCTCTTGTTGATCTTTCAGTTTCTACCGGCCTGCTCGAGACCAAATCAGCTGCCCGCCGCTTACTGCAGCAAGGAGGCCTATATCTCAATAACAGCAGAGTCACTAGCGAGGGCAAGAAGGTTGAAGCTGAAGACATTGTGGGCGGCAAAGTTCTGCTCTTATCTGCTGGCAAGAAGAACAAAATGGTTGTAAGAATATCGTGATTGTTCTTATTTGATGGCTGTTCACTGTCTTGGTTTTTTTTTTTCATCATCAAAAAAAGAAAAAAGTTAATTTTCTTTTAAATTCTAAATCTTTGATTATGCAAATTGCAATTGCATACATTTTCTTTTTTACTCTTAAAGGAGATCTGATTACTGGATTCCTTGCTAACATATTGGGTTACACTGCAGAGACATTTGAATGAAGTTCTTTTTAGTCCCTTCCCACAAGTTTAACTTGTGTGTGTATGGATTTTGACTTCGTGGTGAGAAAAGAAAGAGAAACTTTAAATCACTGAAATAAAAAACAAAATTTGTTCACTAACATTCTTTTTTTCTTACAATATATTTATCGTCTTTTGTACTCTTTAATAAAATCTTGTGTGCTCTTATTTAATTGGAGCAAATTGGGCATCTTAGGCATTTTTGCTACTCAAGCTGCATTTTTTTTTCCTCCTACGGACTTGGTATGACAATAGGCATTTTGCTTTTTTCCAGTTTCCCTCTCCACTGGTAGATACCATTTCCTGCTAGGCATAGGTGTTCCTTGCAAAATTCATATGAGTTTGTTTCTTCTGCTTTCTTCACTGCTACAGCCCTCCATTGATCTTAGGTATGGCCTCTCTCTATGTATCAGTTCTTCCCACTGCCGATCTGAAACTCAGCAAACCCCCAGCACCTCCAACACTTCATCTCCCACTCTCTGTCCTCCACCCAAACCCCTTCCTACGTGCTATTTTTCCACAACTGAATCCTCCTTCCACCTCCAACTTTCCCTTGCCGCCTCTGCAACTCCATCACCAGCAAACCCCTTGGCTTTATCTTTTCCACCTTTCTTTTCTGGTTTTGGTCGAAAAGGTCTGATTCATCACCTAGGTTCTGTTTTATGTTTTTTTTTATGAATTATAGTGGTTTGTGTTGTGCAATGCACACATTTGCTTTTATTCTAGAAAGATAATTTTAAATTTCTGCAAAGTAATACATTTCATTTTCCTGTAAACCTATAATACATGTCTAAGGTATATTGGTTTGGGTAGCAAAAATCAAGGTCTAAGGTATGTTCATTTGCCAGTTCAAAAAAAAAAGGTATATTCATTTGGGTAGGAACGAAATTGAGTGGTTGGAATTTGGAAATAATGGTATGAGGTTCAGGAGCTATTGCGGTTAGATAGTTTGATATACATTGTTGGGCCCATTTCCTAATAGCTTAGGATTTTGGAAAAATTGGTAACTTAACATGGTATCAAAGCTCTGATTAAGAGAGGTCTTGGGTTTAAGTCTCTCCGTTGGTATTTGGTATTCTACCCCCGTTTGGTTTCTTTCTCTCTGTTTGATTGTTTGTTTCTCCTTCTATTTGATTCTCTATTTGTCTTTCCACTTGTCCACGTGCAAGACGGGATTGCACATGAGGGAGGGTGTTAGATAGCTTGATATACATTATTGGACCCATTTCCTAATAACTTAGGCTTTTGGAAAAATTGGTAACTTAACAGATGTTGAGGAGGATGTATGATAAAACCAAGAAAGAATTAGAAATGAATACATTTGTAAAATGATGGGATAGATTGAAGATAAGAAGCGAGAAAAGAGATAGATGGTTTGTTCAGTTACAACCAAGACTGGTAGAGGCAACGGTTAAGAAGTACGGACACTTCTAAGAAAATGGCATATCCGTGTCATATCTATGTCAAACACTAATACTCATTGGACACTTCCCAACACGTGTCTGACACTCGTTAAAACATGTCCTATTTTTAAAAAGTTTTTTAAATCCGGACACTCTTCATTGCTTAAGCGCACGTCCACCGATTAGATACACGCAAAACTAATTACAAGTTTGAACTAAATAACTTGGGATACAATAATAAAAGAAAAAAACAATATAAATTTATAAAATAAGTGTTATATTACATTTTTTTATTCATTGAATGATATATTCATATATATGACATATAATAAATATATAAAATTATATATTTTGTGCGTGTCCTTCACGTGTGGTGTCTTGCATTTTTTGAAAATTGACGTATTAGCGTGTCTGTGATGTGTTGCGTGTCCGTGCCCGTGCTTCTTAGGGCAACGGTGAAGTAGTGTGGTAGGATCACAGTTAATGGAAACACTAGGGGAGGGGAAAACCTAGATTGACATAAGATATCGTAGCAAAGAAGGATATGACTTTGCGTAATTTAACTAAGCATATGGCCCTTGATAGAGCAAAATAGATAAAAAATAAAATTAAATTAAAAAAAAAAAAAAGATTCATCTAGCCAACCCCAATTGATTCGGACACAAGGCTTGATTTGGTTTGGTTTAAACATACACCATTTCTTTGAGCTAGAACTTGATTTGAATCAATTGTCTAGTTTATTCTATAATGCAGTTTCCATCCCTGTATGCATCTTTTTGGCGTGCAAGTACATACGATAGAAGCTTCAGCAATTTATGAAGCCTCTCCACTATTCAAAATGATGTAACTTGCATATTCAAAAAGAAGCTTTAGAAAGAAAATAAATCATTTTGAAATTCAAAGTCAACTCCAACTCTTCAGTGTCACTGTTTTTGCAACTTGATTCTCATCCATCGGGTGAACTAGAAGCACACATTATGAAAAAACTACAAGATACTTTCACCAATTTATCCAAAAGGGCTAGGCATCACCCAACAATTTATAGTATTTATTAACTACAACAAAACCATTGTCCAGGAGCAAATGCCTATCCCCTTGAATATTTACGTTTCCTTTGCACTTCCAAAGGCATTTGAAATGACAAACTCCTCCTCTAAAAAGAGAAATTTCAGAAAATTAGTAGAGTCCCGTTGCGTAAACCCAAATTGACAACCCAATATTGCTAACATCATTTGAAAGATTGCTGCCACATTCCGGTAATGGTTCCATACAACATATGACATTTTTTACCTTAAAAGGCTATGTAAAATGTCAAGGGAGCCATTTGCTTCCCCATGGGACTTCCAAACATGGCTTTAATATAACATCATAATTGTTCAAAAAAAAATTATAAACAACCAAGAATTTAGTCCACTTCCATTCCAACTGAATTAGATCCGAAGTTGAATTTCATAAACTTCAAACTTCCATTTAACTTTCTCTCCACAAAATAAATATGACTTATATTAGCTTCCAGAATTGTCCATGAATCATCTCCACTTCAGAATAAATCAAGATGCAGAACTCTGACTACCTATGATGCATGGACATAGACACAGGACACGATACGGACACGTAGACATGCAAATTTTCAAAAAACGGGAGACACGACACGCTGGAGACACGTTCAATATATATAATTTTATTTATTTAATATATGTATAAAGAAAATTTTTAAAAATTAATATATGTTTAAAAGTAATAAACATAATACCCACAAGATTTTAATAAAATTTGATTTTTTTTTTTTAAAATAAGGATACCAAAAAAATAGAAATAGGAAGGGGAGAAGAAAAAAAAAAAGGCTATTTGGAGTAAAAGAAAAAGAAGAGAGAGAGAGAGAGAGAAACTAAATCAGAAATATAAAAGAAGAAAAGAAAAACAGAAAGAAAAGAGAAGCAAAAGAAGAAAACGACAAGAGAGCAGAATCAAAGAAAACGAAGAAGAGGGCAGAATCGAATGAATCAAAGAGAACAATAATAGAGAAGACGAAGAAAAACGAAGAGAAAAAGAAGAACACCTCATATTAGGGCTGGTAATCGACCTCTTTGAACAACTTCAGGGCTTCAATTGATCTCTCTCTCTCTCTCATCTCCAACAGTTAGGTTAGGGCTTCTTCGATCCCTCTCTAATTCTTGAGGTGTTATCTTTTTACATTTTGTACCCCATTACAAGTTTTAAAAATTATATTTTGGCCCGTGAGTGTCCACTACGTGTCTTCGCGTTTCCGATGCGTGTCTGACCGCAAAAAATTTTATAAAAAAAAGGGACACGTCTTGTAGAGTGTCGGACACCTGTACGTTGCCTCCGGAGAGGTGGCTGTGCTTCATAGCTGACTATCATGCAGGAAGCAACTTGCATGTTTCAATGGGGAGGTGGATGCCCTTGAAACAAAAAATTTTGCTTAATGGTAGCTAACTCTCCATCAACTATACATTCAACACAAGACAGTAGGCCCAAGCTTTTCATCACATTTTTAACTTTTACCAAAAACCAGTCCAAATAGTTTCTAAGATGTTTGGAGATGAGTTCTTCTTATGAAGAAACCAAAAATGCCTTCACTGGGAAAGCAATGCGCAAAGAGAGCCAAAATGAACGACAAAAAATAATAATAATAATAATATAACTTTACCACGTACCAGTTAACACCGATTTCTCGTTCCTAGGTGCATTTTGCAGCATGGTTGCATAGTGCTTGAAAGCCCTATATACTTCACGAACAACAAGCTCTGTTCTCTGGCAAAACCCACACCAACTGTTGCTAAAGAGGACCAACACATCCTTCTTCCAAGCATGGACAGCACTTGAAATATCTGACTGATTAAAACCAATAACCAACTCAGAAAAAGTACGGGTGGTAACTCGAGGAATAGAATCCACCTCATGAAAATCCAAATTAACAAATGGTGGACTTGGAGCCTTCCTAGGGCTTGGGACAACAGATTCAGATCGTTGATATGGAAGAAGACTTCCATTGAGAAACCCATCAAGGAAATCAGATAGTGAAGAATAACTGAAAACTGTCTCTTCAGGTAAGACATAATGTTTCTGTAAAATGGGGTCAACTATTACCACTGACGGAATCTTTGACCCAGCAGATAGAGCTTTAAGTAACTGATATCCACCATCAGAAAAGAAAAAGGAACCTTTAAAATGAATCTCTTCACTCAAATTAGCTCTTTCTGAAAAGGTTTTCTGTTCCATTTTCACATCTTCAGCACTGCCAAGAACTTGATTTCCATGAAAATGATCATGTGCTCCATATGACTGTTTGTTTGTATCAGAAGTTGTCTTCTCTTCAGTATACTGGGAAGATTTATCAGTATTAGCAGGTTTATATTGCTCCTCATGCGCCACAGAAGTGCCATCCATATATGGTATCTGATCCTTGTGCAAATCAAAGCTGGCTTCCGGAAGGCCTTCTGTCGGATTTGAAAAAACTTGATCAGACTGAAGAACTTTTGTCTGCGCTGGTAAAGCTTCTTGTATCTTGATTTCAAAATCCTCAGATAAAAGTTGGAAACCTGCCTCTTTCGCAAGTGAGCTCAATTTTACTTTGTCCTTATGCTGAAGTACATATTCCAAGATCTCATGCAAGGACTTACCTTGTAAATCTGAAGGAATTTTATCTAGGGTGACATGTTTCTCCTCATTTACAATCATGATAGACATCTTATCCTTCAATTCTACATTTCGAGAAGTTGGAGACAGCTTGAATCTTTGATGTCCAGTGATGCTTTTCGATGCTTGATTGGTGTCAAACACAGATTTGTCAGTCTTGATATTGTTTTGCTCGCCTATCCCACATGATGTCTGATAGTGCAAAGCTAAATTTCTAAAAGCATCAATAGCCTCCTTACTTTTTCTTCTAGTTTCTAATGAATCAGATGATCTATCAATAAAAAGAAGTATTGAAGGTTTATTTGCAGGTAAAGCAGGCTCAGGATCATTCCCACCACTTCCCAGCTACATGAAAATGGGCGAAAAAATCCATGAATCAATATCGCAAAACCAGCATGATATCATGACAGCAACAATGGCAAAAGAAATGGCCAAATTATATATTTGTGAATGTGCAAGGACCTATGCCCACATCTGCTGGTGAAGTGTTCAGTAAAGTGACTAGATGAATGTGGAACTTAGTAGGCTGTTAAATAGGCTGTTGAAACTGACACCAATTACATCATTGCACACTTTGAAAAAAGTACTCAAAGAGGGATCAGATTGATGCACCATGTCCTATGTCCAGACATGTGTAGACTATAATTAATATTACTGGTGTTTATTCAAATGCACGTGGGAGTTAATACAAGAAGTAAAATAAATATAAATGCCAAAACAGAGATCAAAGCAACTGTAATACAAGAAGCGCACGTACATGGTTCCACCACTTGTGTAATAAAACGCTTTTCACTGAATGTCTATTCAATAAACCAGAGAAATACGAGGTTACAAGAGATAGATAAAATGTTGCAGCATCATGTTAAATGACCGGGATACATCTATATATAGCACAAGATATATGACTACTGCCAGAGCTTGCCGAAAACCGAAAAAATATAACTAAAAGTATTGCAATAATGACTATTGAATAGCTTGACCATTCCACGCAACACAACTAGACAATAGAAAGTTTATGATGTAAGACAAGGAATCAAATTTTCACACAACAAAACAAGTAGACAACCACACTGATACATATAGACTGCAAGAATGCAAGTAACCAATCAGAGGACCAAGAAATAATGATCTAAGCTCAATAATTAGAGTTAAAAAGCATATATATTCCTGAACAAGGAAACCAAAGAAGCCTCAGCAAAAACAAAGTTCAATTGATTTCCAAAATATCTAGATGCCATTGATAATTAATGTGCATGCTGTTTTGATGAGTTATTTGAAGCATACAACATTGTGACTAAGCCAAGCCATGCATCTGAAAGCTGCAGCCTTTTACAGCAGTTGGAGATAAGACTAAATTAGCAGCTAATGAGTGAAAAGCATAACATAGAAACTTACCTCCACAAGAAGTGAACTTTGCATCTGTAGAGCAATTTTGAGATCATCCCCTTCTCCAAGAACCTTTGAACAACTGGGACATCCAGCAAAATAAAGTATTGTTGACCAGGAACCAGAAATTCCAACATCCAAAGACGAAAACCATGAACCAGAATCTCCAACACCCAAAGATGAAAGCAACAACCTCTCAGGTACCAGGCCGAATCTTAGCCGTTCAGGAGGCAAGAAGAACTCTCTTGCAACAGTCATGAACTTCGAGAAGAAAGATTCAAACCGCTGGAACTGTTCAAAGCTGCACGAAATCCCAACAGTGGGACTCATATTTTTAGCCACAAGGAAATCAATTTCAGTTACAGAGCTAAATTCCCCAAGCCAAGAGAGTCCACTAGCCCCACTTTGAACACCGCAAGTCATCTTTTCATTTTCCATCCCCTGTTTTAAAAAATAAAATAAAATAAAAAATATTTACTGCCACATTCTTTTTCAGAAACATTTAATTAAAAGGGTAAATTATGCAAATGGTCCCTATAGTTTACACGATGTGTAAATTTAGTCCCTGTTGTTTTAATTTGAGTGATTTTACCCCTTAATTTAACGGATTGTGTCATATTGGTCTAATAAATAACAGCCATTAGGATTGGTGGACGGAAACTCAAACAATATGTCAATTTGGTCCCTGTAGTTTACACCATGTGTCAATTTAGTCCCTATCAAAATCGAGCAAATTAAAACAACAAGGACCAAATTGACACATCGTGTAAACCATAAAGACCAAATTGACACATCGTTTGAGCATGTGACGACTTCTCGTCCATCAAACCTAACGGCTGTTATTTATTGGACTAATATGACACAATCCGTTAAATTAAGGGGCAAAATCGAGCAAATTAAAACAACAGGAACAAATTGACACATCGTGTAAACTACAAGGAACATTTGCATAATTTACCCTAATTAAAAAGAGCTTTCTTATTTGTGTGCAACAAGCTACTACCATCCACCTTCTGGTTTTTCTTCCCTTTGGCTGCAAGTGATCTATTTGTCTCGCCAATAAAACTCACTCCGAATTGGCCATCTGCAACAAGAAGAATCAGCACCATTAAGGAGCAAAATGACCATGCATAGCATTAACACACTTTCAATTTCATGCTAACCATCTATAATAGACAAATCCAAATAATTACGACATATCACATGAACATAGTAAATCAATATCAAGCAAAACAATAAATGCAAAAATTATGGTAAGAAGTACTACACAATCATAAAACCAACTTAGTCTAGAGATTTCCGATTGAAACTTTCAATAATCCCATGAGTATCTGCTGGACAACATTTGTTACTTTGTATTTTTTATTATCATTTTCCCAAGTAATACAATATACACAATCTAGTGGAATTGTACTCCTACATGCATTTACAACATGCTGTCATGAACCATATAGCTCCCGTGGCCTTCACTTCTGCCTCTATTAGGCAGCACAGGTTTAAGAAAGTTTTGTTTCTATAGGGTAACACTACTTCATACTTCACTTTTAGCTCTTATGCTTCAAGAAAAATTATAACCATTTTACTTTTAGAAGATATTCAGATGCAGTTAGCTCCAATGACCGCCATTTCTGCCAATATCAGGCAGAAACAGTGATTAGGAAAGGAACGGATTATTTTATAGGATAATACTGCTTCATGCATAATTTTCAACTCTCATGCTTCACATTATAAGTATATTATGAAATTTAAAATATATCATGCAAATTCTTCCAATTAAATAGAGATTAGGAAGGAATTTTTTTATTAATTCATATCCTGTTATATCACAAAACGCTAAGGAATGTGTTTTATATCCTATTCATTCTTTCCTTTATTTCACTTTTCTTTTGAAAAATCAAACAAGAATTTGGGGCTTAAGGATAATCGTAACAATAACAATAATAGGGGTAACAATAACAATAATAGTGTTAACAACAACAATAAAATAGTAAGAATAACAAGAATAAATAGTGATAATAACAACAACAATGAAAAGATAAGAAAACATTTAACTTTTAGATTTGTACTCTAGGCAAGTGGAAGTAGATAGGACAGTCCATTCAAATGAGGAATGTGATTAGCGGTTTGAGACATGAAAAGGCATGGTATAGTGGGGCCTAAAAGCATCAATAAAGAAGGTCCTATTTGGAATTGGCGGGTGTTCAATCATTAAAATTGCAAAGCTTTAACATCTCAGTAATGAGCAGTGAAAGGATGCTTGTGACCAATGGAAGGCCATTGGCCCCTTTGCCACCCTGCCTGACTCCGCTTTTGTGACGATGATCAAGTCCAACTTACAAAGTCTTTTCAGGCTGATAATGATAATAGAAAAACAAGAAAGTATGACACATGCATTGATTAAGAAATCGATAAACATAGGCATTTTCAATGCAGTTTCAGGATGTTCGAATGGGAAAGGATCCGTAATAACCATCTACTATCGTGAGGGAAAATGTAGCCTAGAATTCTAGAACAATCATCTGAAGGCTAAGAAAATTGCAGATAGCCCTACCTATAAAGGAAGCCCAGTAGACCTTAATATTTCCATTAGAATTTCTTAAATTAGTTAGCAAAGAGTTCGTGGGTTAAAAATTGACCCCAAGATTGAAAGTTTCTTGGTGTGGATTTCTCATCTCCTCCCGAAATTAAAAGAATATTTAGAAGTCAAATAACGACAGAAATAAACAACCCAAAAAAATAAACTATAAAAGAAGACAAATAAGTGAATAAAGGTACCAAAACCATTTTCAGTTCCATTGTTCTTGCCCTTGGCCAACAATGCATGGGTCCATCCACAAAATTCCATGAGAAGTAAAGCCTTGTCAGTTGATTGAAGGAATGTTTTCAAGTCCTCTGGCGTTTTTAGAGATTCAAGGGGAAGTTGTTCAGGAGGATGTGTCATAAGAAAATGAGCAGACGATAATATATTTTGTGCTCTAAGTCTCCCTTGATACTTGTAAGGTAAAGAATGGTGATAGCATAAAATTGTTATTCCCTCTGTAGCACCAATGACATCAGCAAGCATCCTCTCTCTATTTCTGTATAAGAGCACCAGTTTAAGGGTGCCAAACTTTTCTTGCTTATTGGCAACAAGCTGGGTTAATTCCTTCATAAGGGATCGAGACTCGCCAGACCCTGATCATTAAAAATCGGGACCATCAGATATTTGAAAAAGACACCTGCTAATGCAAAGTACTTTACCAATACAATTTGGTTAAATGTAAATTCATTCCAATAAGAACATCTGATAATAGCATTGGCTACATGTTTAAGATATATAATACCACATAATGCATGATAAGAAAACAGCATTGCTGTAATGAAGTGTACAGAACAATTAACACAATCAGTAGTCAACAGGCAAGACAGGGAATGTCTGCAATCAGAGCAAACTTACAGGCAACATAAATGTCTCACATGCACACATACGAAAAGTTTAACTTCCTCAATTTTATTAGCTTTCTGATGTAGGACAACATTACAAAACTTGGCTACATGCAGTTAGGTTTATGGTATGCCTAGGGCCTAAGAAGCACGGACACGGACACGCGGACACGTAAATTTTCAAAAAATGCAGGACACGACATGTTGGGGGCACGTTCAAAACATATATTTTTATTATATGTATATTTAAAATATTTAATATGCATTTTATGTCAAATATTTAATTTTATCAATTTTTTTTTTTTTAAAAAAAACAAAGTACTTAGCGTGTCCCTAACGTGTCCTCAGAGTGTCCCTAGCTTGTCCTCAACATGTCCCTTGCGTGTCCGTAGTGTGTCCAAAGTGTCCCAGCATGTCCAACTCTTTCCAGCGTATCCAACACTTGTCCAGAGCGTGTCTGTATCCAACACGTGTCGGACACCTATATGTGACCTCCGGAGAGGTGTCCGTGCTTCATAGCCTAGGGCAAAATGAAATACTTACAGGGTTACAATTTAGGATTCTAAAAGATAGAAGAAAGTTTTAGTGATTGTGAGTCAAAAGGAGTTCAAATTAGCTTGGTTTGCTAAGAAGCTAGTTACTGGGTTTAAGGAGATTATGTGCTACAATTATTTGGAAAGTAACTATGTGAGTCTCTTTTAGTGAGAAATTAAGGGTTAAGAAGTAGAATGAGGGGTTGGGTTGATTAGTCTTTAACATAATAGTGGTATGGGGATTACTCCTCAATTTTGTGCAATCGGATTTCTTGTTTAAAATGCATTGCAGCCAGCCATATGTTATTTGCTTGTTCTTTAGAGACACAACTGACCTCATCTAATAGATTTCACTATTTTGTCTTGGATTCTTCTCCCAAACCTTAAGTTGCACTGGACTTCTTGAACAACTGTAGTACCAAATCCACTTTCCTTTAAAAACTACGCAACAAACCCATTCCCCATAACTTAATTCAAGCGCATAGCAAGAATCACTTTAGCATCTAACATACTCCCTCATAATTGGGAAAACTTTGAACATTAAGTATGATTAATTATTTTGATTGAGGTACATGCCTTTTTAAATTGAAAATCAGAAATTAAAAGTTCAACTATCAGTCTACACTTTTTCCTGACAATGTTGTGTTGGTTCCTCTTCATTTCTAGAGCAAACTTTCCAATTTCAATAAATGCAAATCTTTCTAATCCTCAAAGACTTAAATGAATTTCCTACTGATTACAATGCATACATTCTCTTTAATGCATGGTTTTTATGGAAGACAGATGATCTAGTTTAGACAAGAGAGGTCCTCCATAAAAATGTGCTAATTAGTACACCAACTCAAATGGCTTATGCTACAAATAAATAAGTCACTTCTTGAAATATACCACCACTTTTTCCCACAAGGTGTGACCCTCAGTATTAACAAATCCTGCTCTTAGCTTTAAGAATATATTTCTCAAAAGATCTCATCTTAGTGCTTCTTTTCCCAAGTCATTAAGATGATTCAATATCTCTCCATATTAACTCTACTTAACCACTCCAAAATTTTCAAACAAGTTACAGCACCTATAATGAAACAGCCCACGTAGATCCAGCAAATCTTCCTAAAATTGCATGGCAAGTACTTCATGTTTGTTCATTGTAGGGCTGTGCACAAAACTGATCACCCGATGGACTTGATCGAACCCGACCCGCTAAACACTACAATGGACGGTTTCTCACTTTGCAGGGTCGGTTGCGGGCCTAAAGAGCTAAATAATTTGAGTAATCGGTCGGATTTCAGATTGCTTGTTCACTGAACCGAATTACCCAAACTGACCGGATGTTATTAATATATTTTACACATGGTATGCTTCCATGGGAGTCTCACATTACACCTTTATCTTCCCAACCCATCTCATTTTGGTCAAACTTCCTCTCCTCTCTCTCCCTTTGAGACGATTTTGTCTTTTCTCAAACCCTAGCCGTAGTAGGCACCGTTTTGGTCTCAAGTTCATCTTTACAATTTACAATCCTTACTTAGTCTCAGCCACAGCCCCTCCTTCACAAATTGAAATTCAAAAAATGGTAAAGCACTGCACTACCGGATATAATTCTTCTTCATCCAATGAGTATATCTGATACTTTAGGCTTTGAGCGACCCCAGCTGGCGATCTTCTTAAAGTCCAATGAAAATCTTAAATGGAATATTAAATAACTATATCTCGGTTCCTATTTTTTGATTTTCTTTTATTTTTGTTTACCAAAATGACAGATCTATGCTGAAGGAAAGGAAAGTGATAAATTTGTTTCAATTTATTTTATTTTTTTTCATTCTTGTTTACCAAATTGATAGACTTATGAGATTCTCAGTTGCGTTTGGGTTAAGGTCCAACCTGATACTTGAACCGATATCAACTGTGAAATGAAAGAGCATGAGCGGAGGGTGTCGAAGGGGGTTTAGGTCGAAATTAGTTGACATTTTCTCAACCCAAATGTTGATGGTCGGTTGACGGTTTATGGGTAAACCCGACCTAAACCGTGTGCAACCCTAGTTCATTGTATCCATCTTCTTAGAGCAACTCCAATGGTGAAAGCCAAAATGGCTTTGCCAAAGTTCTTGTTTAGCTATACCACTCCATTGGTTTCATGTTATTTTGGCATAGTCAACTTTGATATCAGTTTTTGACCATTGGATTTATTTCTCAAGAAACATCTAGTGATCACCAAATTTGGCACAAGATTTGGCATTGCCAATTTAGGCTCAAGATTTGGCAAACCATTAGAGGGTGTTGTCTATGAAGCTATAGCTAAAAATGACTTTGGCTCAAGAATTTGACACACCATCAATGTTGTCGTTACTATTCTTTCTTATCCCCGAAAAGAATACAAGTGATTAAATAAAAACTACTAATAATAATATTTAGAATTTTATCAGATTCACTGTATGTCACATAGCTGACATCTTTGTGAGGGATCACATTGTAAGTTCAATTCCAAACAATTCCACTCTAGATAGACTTGGATATGGTGAAAATCCCACAACAAATGATTTACAATATCAAAACCCACACCAAAGTTTTATCTCTACATGCAATGAAGACTTGGAATTCCAAATTCCACCATGAATAAGAAATCTTGTAGCAATCTTTAGAGAACTAGGAACGAGCAAATTCCAAACACGTCACAACCAAAAATGGTTTCATAAGCCCATCCATTGTTGTTTTGGTTCCTATCATAGTCCGTTTTCCACCATCCTCAGATTTATGCAAATTTGTCAAAAGTTCAGTTTCAGGTACCCTGCAAAAATCAGTTTTATCACCCAGAAAGTAACTATAAGTTGCATATGTAAACAGATTCTCCCGCCACTTTTTAACTTGACATTTGGCGGTCTATCTACCTGCCAGACCCTCCTAACTTTTCTGAGTTTGGAACCCGTTGCATTGGAAGACAAGTTTTTAAGCATGTGACCTGGGAAAAATTGGATTGAGCTGCCGCTGAGCAGGAGACATTGATCATGTTTTGGTACAACTTTTTGTAAGCTTAAAATTGATAATCATAAAACAAAAGCTAAAAACACCCATCAAGCTTCTCGAAAATCAATCAAAAACTGTACCAACTATGCACAGATTCCCAAAATTACAAATAAATTAATTAATAACTATAAGCACCTCAATAAATTTTACTCATTATGATAACCATGTAGTAGACCCATTGCTCGATAATTAAAAAATAGTGCTTTACAATCTTCTTCTAAACCTTTTTCCATCCAATTAAGGCATCTCCAATCATGTTCTCAAACCTGTATAAAATTTAGGTTTGGGTAAAAATCACTCAAAACACCCTCAGCTCCTTGACCCAAACTCAATTTTTTACCCAATTCAAGGGAGACTCAAACTTTTCAAGCCTATTTTGATGGTTTAAGATTTGGAAGTATAAAATTAGTTAAAATCATGTTTGGATTCTTTTAAAGGAGGGGAAGGAAAGTGCATGTTGTGGTTACGCGGGGGAGAGAGTACAAACATTTTAAGCATTCCACTTCCCCTCCAAAATTGGGAGGAAACGGAAAGGAAGTGATTCTCATAATAATATATTAAATTAACTAAATTAAGTAACAAGAGGGATGATATTTTCCATCCCTTTCCTTCTCTTTCCTTTCCTACCCCTCACAACTAACTATTCCCTTCACTTCACTTCCCTTTCCCTCGATCCAAACAAAGTGAAAGCTTATATAGACAAATCTTATATACTCAAATTTTTACCTAAATATAAGTTTGTCCATTTGAGTAGTTAGTTCATATCAAATAAGGTTTTTACTCAAATTTGAGTGAAATAAATTTTGAGTAATGGCTGGAAATGGCCTCACAATGAAAAAATTGTTATATAGATAGAGTCCTAGAAGAATTCATTATACACTCATATATATATATATAGAGAGAGAGAGAGAGAGAGAGAGAAAGAGAGAGAGATTTACATACAGGGAACGGTGACCATGAGGAGGAGGTGGGGGTGAAGACGGATCTGAGAGGAGAAGTTGCGTTTGGTCAGAATCTCCCACTCGAATACTCCGCTGCTGCTGCTGCCGTTGGATTCAGAAGAATCAATGGCGGCCTGAACAATCAACGGTTGTGATGAGAGTATTAGAAACGAAGCCATGACTATAGCTAGACGACGACGATGATGATGAAGAAGTGAAAGCATATCCATAGCTACGATGAAGACGATGATGATAGACAACACAGTCAGTCTCAAATTACAGAGGCTTTTCCCAATATAAGCCTTTTTTTTACATGGTATTTCTAAAATTAGGCCAACTTAAAGCGTCATTAGCGACTTTGATTAAGAAGTCGCTGTTACAAATAGTGCTCTTAAGGTTAATTTTTTTCCCAAGGAAAACGCTGTTAAGAACAGCGCTTTTTACACAAAATTATTTTACTAGAAAAATGCTATTGCTAATATCGATTTTACACAAAAATTTTTTGCCAGAAAAACGCTATTGCTAATAGCGAGTTTACTTAAATGAAAACGCTTTTTCAATCAGCGTTTTTAACGTCTCTCCAAAGTCGCTATTTGTAATAGCGATTTTCCTGTTCATCTACTTTTGCGCTCCTAACAGTAAAAGCGCGAATTGTAATGACGCTTTAGCTCAGTTTTGGAATTCCGTCAGAAGTCGGCCTAGTTTTGGAAATACAATGTAAAAAAGGCTTATATTGGGAAAAGCCTCCAAATTACAACGTCAATGGAAAACTCTGCCTGACTTGGCACGCCAAAATCACCAGTAACTTGTTCCATTTTCACATTGATTAGGGTATATAATAATAAATTATTTATTCTATTTAATTTCTAATTACAGTCCTTTTAAAAATTAATTTTTTTTAAAAATATTATTCATAATTCTAAACCAATCATGACACCAAATTTTCAATATAGCTATTTTGGAAAATAGGTTAAAATCTCTCACAATAAAATTAAAAAATAACTTTTAATCATCTTTCCAAAACACCCCATACTCTGAAACCACTAGGCCACTCTTAACTTTTTTTGTACCGTCACAATTACCACTTAGCCACCTTTGATCACCATGTTTGCCGTTTCTCACCTTCAACTACCACCTCTCCACTTTTGATCACCAATATTTGTTATTCCCCACCTTCACTTCGTTGTACCACCACAACCACCATCTCTCAACTTTTGACCACACCACTCTTAGCCTTTCATTACCTTTACTTCATGGTACCATCACAACCACCACCTCTCTACTTTTCACTACCACTCTCTAAGCCCTTCTACATCCCTACGCAACCCCTTTGCAACCCTCAACCCTAACAAGAACCACTTACAACTCTCATTACATTGTACTGCTATGACCACCACATTTCCATTTCTGGTCACTACTCTTAGTTATTCGCCATCCATATGACAAGCCCTTACAACCCCCAACCTTGGTGAAAACCACCTATAACCCCTTATTTTTGCAACCCTCCCCATTATGGCTTCCTCATTTCCCATCATTATATGCATGCAAATGAAACAAAAATTGATAGATTTTTAAAACTATAATTGGAAGAAAATTAAAATAAAGGGTGATCAAAGGTGGGGGCGAAGAAGTGGGAGAGTATGCATAAAAGGAGCTTATGCTTATTAAAATGGGTTTATTACGCTTTCTATCTCTAAATTATCGTCAATTTATCTATTTAGTTCATAAACTATCGATGGAATATATTCAGTTCTTAAAGTATAAAAATAAAAGTCTATTTAGTTTCTAAACTATCGATTGAATCTACTAAATCTGTAAAATATTTAATTTAGACTTATTTAGTCCCTAAAATGATTACAAAAATAAAATATATGCCCATACATATTACAAATTATTAAAAGACCCATTCCCAATGAAGATTTTAGGAGAAATTATCAGAAAGTCCTATTTACCAATCTATTACTCCATCTGGTCCCACGTTCATTCTCTTGGATTGACAAGTCCTGTTTGATATGTTTTGTGAACAATCAAGTCCCGTTTTAAATTTATGTGATGTGTGTGGACGGATTTAACCCTATTTTGTTTTTTCTCTACAGGTGTATATATGGGATTGAATGCAAATTTTGTGGGATACGTTTCCTCATCCACGTTTGGCAATTCGGATCTGTCATCCAAAATCCCCATTACCATCATCGCTGTCTTCACTCTCAGATTATCATCACACTCCACAAGCTCCTCCATGGCCGATCTCAGCCTCCCGATCACTAATTCCACGTGATTCGCATCTCCGTTCACCGCCGTCCTCGCCGCCTCCACCACCACCAGCGCCGCCATCCTCGCCTGAACCCTAACCACCTCCTCCTCCAATTCCCTCTCTTCCCCTCCTACCTCCGCCGCCAATCTTTCCAATCTCCTCCTCTACTCCGTCGATAGATCCACCACGTACTTCTCAACGAGTTGAGAAACGAGTCCTGGTTTGAACCCCGCGATCCACAGGAACGAGCGCTCCAGCGAGCTCAACCAAGTCGGGGACAAAACGATGAACACGTTCTGTCGAATTGCTCTCAATTTTTCGGCATAATATTGTTTGTAGTGAGTGGAGACTCGAGCGATTAGATCTCTAAATCTGACTTCATCTTCTTCTTCTTCGATTCGTTCTATGACGAACTAGCCAGCCATTGAAGAAGACTTGAAAGGCTTCGACATTGTCGAGTTATTAAAATGTGGGACTTCACGGGGATGGACTTGCAGTATGAAGTGGGAAACCAAAATGTGGTTCAGCAAATTGACGTGGGCCATCAAAAAGTGGTTCAATAAACTGATGTGGTCTACCAATTTGTGGTTATGAAAAATTAAGTGTGCTTCCCAAACGTGGCTTTCCAAAATGTTTTGACCCACCAACGTGTGGGTCACAGGATGGACTTCCAGTACGATGTGGATTGGATTTTGTGTGAACCCAACCAATGATTTGGTTCACGTCGAAACGTCACAAATGCCAATTGAAAAACAAAGTGTCAAATTGTGGGAAAGTCGAAACGTGACACAGTTACACGTATCAAATTGCTTGTTCAAACTGTGTCAAATTACTTGGTTCACAAAAAAAAAAAAATGTGTCAACTTACTTCTGTTCACGTCACAACCCACGTCTCATGTTGTGAGTGTTACACACTTACTAAATTAAAAAAAATATTAGTGTGCTTTTTCAATCAGCGTGACACACAAATACCCATTCACCTTCTCCCACACAAACCCACACCAAATGTCAATCAATAATACTAGCAGTGGCAAAATTGTCAACAAACAACTTAAGGGACCATCCAGTCACTAAGAAAACATTCAGGACCTTATGGATTACAAGTCCACAAAATAGGATTTACTAGTCAATTCCCCAAGATTTTATTACAGGAAAATCTTTTAAATTTGTAATGTCTTTAAATGATATTTTATTTCGTTGTGTGTTTAAATTAATATTAGAGTATGATTTTCCAATATTGCCTTAGCGAAAAACTTAAAAAAAACAATTAATTGGAAATTATAAACAAAATCTGGCAAAATACTAGATAAAGGCATCACATATTCATTGTAGAAGATAAGTAAGAAAATATAATAGATAATTATCATTATCCTTATAAAGGAAATTCAACTTGACGTCCATTTTCAAAGATAGAATCAAAATTTAAGATAAGATTTTTTTGAAATAAAATTTTAACTGGATAAGATCTTTTACTAATTTATAATATTTATGGACTTATATTTTTTTTTTATAATCCTTTTCGGTACTAAATAAGTTTAAATTAAATATTTTAGGAATTGAATAGATTCAATTGATAGGTTAGGGACTAAATAGACTTTGATTTATATGTTTTAAGGACCTATTAGACACAATTTATAATTCATAAATTAAATAGACAATTTAACGATAGTTTAAAAGTATGAAATATAATAAACCCTTTTAAAATTTTAGGGTTAAAATTTTCCTGATAGTTTTATTTGTAAATCGTATTGTAATACAAAATTTATAGACTAATTAATGAGTTGTTTCGTGATGCAATCGAGTCACTAATGAATAATTTACAAATATCATGTATTAGCTTGGTCCAAGCCAATAGCTTGCCCAATCCAACTCAAATTTGTCAAGAGTTGAGATTTTATATTTTTGCGGCCTAATGATTTGTCCAACGACCAATCCAACACACAATTTTAATTGATTTTTTTTTTTAATTTAAAGTGAATTGTATTAGTCCATCTCGCGTTTAGAATGGTTTTTATTTATTTTAGCTTATAATGTCAGGGTTCGATGACAAATTTAGAATTGCACCAGTTTGGATAACCATTAAACGAATAGCCCGATCCAATTCAAATATTAAATTGTAATTATTCAACATGAGATTTACTAATATTTAACATAAATAGTTTACTCCTTGATATAAAACAATTGAATTATTTTATTCTATACTCGGTCTCATAATTAATTTATGTTAAGTGTAATATTATATGTTAAATTTGTGATTTCACCAATAAATTCAATGATGAATATGTCATTCCACCATTGCCACACTAACAAAGTTACAAAGTTGGCACTTAGCCAACCATGAATTTAGTATATGTAAAATATGAAATTATCTACATTGGAAAAGTGAGATGCATGTTCCCTCCTTGATCTTTGTAAAGAGAAACTAAACATAGTAATCACTCCCAACTTGGATAGGTCAAGAGGACGCTCCAATAATCAAGTCAAATCGGCCATTATGAGAAATATCTATTGACTGTATTAAATAGGTTTATTGAGTTACCTTATAACGATTCCGGTTTTAGACCGAACCCATTTCTTACTTTTGAATCTGAGAACCCATGTACCTAACTGTTGTTCATATTATTTCCATCTAGTTACTTGTTGAGTTTGGCTATTGAGAGTTTTTGTTGCGTTTAGAATAGGTTGGGAATTAGTTTTTCGATGAGTTGTTGTCCAAAATTTTGCTTGTTCTTTTGAGCGACAATTCTTGCGCTTTAACGGTATTTTGTAGTCTGTAAAATTGCTGGAAGTTATGAATCTTCACTTGAGCGGTCTTTTGTAGATCTAAACTTCTGAGAGGGAGTCATTGTTCGCTTGGGCGGTGGTTTTGGTCGCTCGAACAGTGTCACTTTTCTGTGTTTTTCGCTCGAGTGACCATTATTGCGTTCAAGCAGTCTATGCATATATCAGCCTGAGAGAGGGCCATTTTGACTCACATTTTCATCTATTTCTCCCTCTAAACATTTCAGAACCTTAAAAACCTTTACACTTTTTTTCTAGCTGTTACTTTTAGTTCCATATACTCTCACTTCATTGGTTTCCTCACCCTAGTCCTTTGGAGAAAAATGATGAGCATGCCAAGGGCTTCGTTTTAATCGGTGAAGTTATTGTTTTCAACACCACCAAGTTCTACCTCTTGCTCTTTTTTGTCCTTTACTTTGAGGTATGGATTTCTTTAACCCTTTTTATGACTTTTTGCTTAATTATTTGCTCTTTGAAATAGGCTAGTGATTTGGGGATTTTTGGAAAAAAATAGGCTATGTTTGGTGCAGCTTTGTAATCATAATTCCACCCCTTCACTTGAACTGTCTGTTTGGATGGCGTGTTCAAAAATTGATTCTACCACACATTTCAAAACACACTTTCTGTTTTATATTTGGCAGAACTGCTTCCAAGCTAGAGCTCTCACATTTTCGTACATAACATCTGATTCGTCTTCTCCATCCTGAAAAAGGTTTACGTGACAAAGAAGATCAAAGCTGAAGATGTTTCACGAGTGACCTGCAGCTCTTCAATCACTTCCTCCTCTCTTTGAACAGTTTT